GATGGGGGAGAAGAAGGATAAAGAAGGAGATTGAGGAGGAGGTAGTGGAAACAAAGACAAGTATGAGAGGAGGAGCAGAAAAAACGGAAGGAAGGAGAAGATAGGAAAATAGGAAGGACTGAAAGGAAGCAGAGAGGAGAGACCCCGAGGTGACACGAGAAGTGGAGAGGAGGATCTCATCACTCAATCTCATCGCCCGCTCACCGGCACCCGACACCGCTCTCTTCCCCCCACAACCTCCTGGTCTACAAAGACCCAACCGGTCATCTAGCGCTATCCACCCCACACTACACGTCGACCGCATGGCCGCTGCGAGGATCCGTCATCACATACCGCTAATCCCAACCTACACACCGCACGCAAACAACACCCCCCGCTCCTTCTCAAGAGATAATCCCACAAAACCTTTCGCGGCGACCGGGGGAGGACTGAGAGCGAGAGAGAGAAGGACTGAGAGAGAGGAGAGATGAGAGACGAGTGAGAGACGACGGAGATGAGAGAGAGAGAGAGAGATAGATAGATAGGATAGATAAGATAAGATAGATAGAGAGAGAGAGAGAGAGAGAGATGAGAGAGAGAGAGAGCAGAGAGAGAGACGGAGAGAGAGAGAAGCGAGAGAGCGGAGAGAGCGAGCAGAGAGAGAGAGAGAATATGAGAGAGAGAGAGAGAGAGAGAGAGAGAGAGAGAGAGTAAATAAGGAGGTAGATGAAACAGAGCGAGGAGAGAGAGAAGAGAGATAGAGAGAGAGAGAAGAGAGAGAGAGATAGAAGGAGAGGAGAGTAGAAGAAGAGGAGAGAGAAGAGAGAAGATAAAAGACAGAAGGAGAGATAGAGAAGACTATGTGAGAGAGAGAGAGAGAGAGATGAGAGGAGGAAGAGAGGAGAGGAGAGAGAGAGAGAGAGGAGAGAAAGAGGGAGGAGGGAGAGAGAGAGAGAGAGAGAGAGAACGAGAGAAAGAGAGAGAGAGGAGGGAAGGTAGAGAGGAGAGAGAGAGAGAGAGAGAGAGGGAGAGGGAGAGGGAGAGATAAACAGACAATGAGAAGAGACGGGAAAGAGGGAAATGAGAGAAGGAAAAATGAGAGAGAGGAAAATGAGAGAGAGAAAATTGAGGAGAGAGTGAGATAGATGATGAGAGAGGAGAGGAGAGAGAGAGGATGGAAAGAGAGAGAGAGAGAGAGTAGGGGAGGGGAGAGGGAGAGGGAAGAGGGAAGGAGAGGTGGGAGAGGAAAGGAGTGGGAGAGGGAGTGGAGAGAGAGAAGAGAATGAGAGAGAAGAGAGAGAGAAGAGAGAGAGAGAAGAGAGACAGAGAGAGAGAGAAACGAGAGAGAGAGAGAGGAGAGAGAGAGAGATCGAGAGAGAGAGACGAGAGAACGGCAGACACACAAAGAGAGCTTATATCTATATAAGAGCTTTAGATTTTTTTCTAATGCCAACAACGAGGGACTGGCTAATCTTTGCACGCATAGAAAACGGAACGAAAGGGATACCACGGGATTAGGAACACGAAATGCGACAAAACCGAATAGAACTGAATGGAAGAGTGACACATGAGAAAAAAAACAAGATTCAGGTTGTATGCACAGGTGTGAGAGGAGGAGGAGGGGAGGAGGAGGAGGGAGAAGCATGTGTGGTGAAGGAGAGTTGAGTGAAAAGTGGAGAGGGGGAGAGGAGAGGGAGAAGAGAGAAGAGAGGAGAGGAGGGAGGAGGAGGAGGAGGAAGGAGGAGGAGGAGGAGGAGGAGGAGGGAGGAGAGGAGGGAGGAGGAGGAGGAGGAGGAGAGGAAAGAAGAGGAGGTGGAATGAACAGGGAGGAGGAGAGGAGGGGGAGGTGAAGAGGAGGAAAAAAAGAAGAACAAGAACAAGAACAAGTAGGAGGAGGAGAAAGATCAACACCACAACGAAAACGAAGAGAAAGCAAAGGAAGAGGAACTGACAGACAAGAAAAGAAAGAGGGAAGGGAGAGGAATAAATTGAAATAATAGAAAGGAGCGAGAGAGAGAGACTGAGCAACAGAAGTCAAGCCACCGCGACGTCGCCTCCCCCCCCCCCCGTGTTATGTGATGTCAGGCAGCCTTTGTCCAAACCTTACACGGGGATTCGCGTCTCCTGGCTGAATATTGGATGGCTGTGCTTCCCTTATCCGATCTCGGGAAAAGCGTTTTCTTTGAGGGGGATAATGAGACGGAGACTCGAGTATAATGTGAGATATATTGCGATTCTGGTGGGTTTGTGTTTATTTGTTTGTTTGTGCGCGTTTGGGTTTGTTTGTGTGTGTATTTTGTGTTTGTTTGTTTGTGTGTGTATGTTTTTTGGTTTGTTTGTTTGTTTTTGTGTGTATGTGTTTTTGTGTTTGTATGTGTGTGGGGGAGGGTGCGTGTGCGTGTCCTTCTGCATGTGCGTGAGCGCATAATTGTTTAAATACACACTTGCATACACGTATACCATAACCGTATATATGGACATACACATTCATACGTGTACATACATGCATATATACATGTCCGTACGCATGTATGAATACAATTTGCCAAAGTAAGAAGTGTTTATGGCATCCCGGAGGCACAGATCAGGCCGCGCATGTGATGTGAATTCTGGCAACATCACAACTCTGCACCGGATGGACTCATGCTGTCTGCCTCTTGGACTTGCTCTCTCTCTCTCTCTCTCTCTCTCTCTCTCTCTCTCTCTCTCTCTCTCTCTCTCTCTCTCTCTCTCTCTCTCTTCCTCTCTCTCTCTCTCTCTCTCTCTCTCTGTCTATCTATCTCTCTTCTTTCTTTCTTTCTTTCTTTCTTTCTTCTTTCTTTCTTAATTTCTGTGTCTGTGTGTGTGTGTGTGGTGTGTGTGTGTGTGTGTGTGTGTGTGTGTGTGTGTTGTGTGTGTGTGTGTGTGTGTGTGTGTGTGTGTGTGTGTGTGTCTTCTCTCCTCCTCCCCTCCCCTCCTTCTCCTTCTTCTTCATTCTTCCTCCCTCCCCCCCCCCCCCCCACGTCATCCTCCGCTCTCCCCTACCCTCTTTGTTACCCATTTGTTATGCCCCCTTTCTGCCGCTGCCGACACCCTCTGCGTGGCTGTTCGATGATCTTTGGGCCTGTCCTTTCATGTCTCCTGACGGCGCTGGACCGAGGGGTCTATTCAGCTCATACACACACACGGACACAGGTACAGACAGAGATACACACACACACACACACACACACATACATACACACACATACATACACACACACACACACACACACACACACACACCACACACACACACACACACATACATATACGCACACACACACACACACACACACACACACACACACACACACACACACACACACACACACACACACACACACACACATATATACATACACACATACAGACACGAACACAGGCATAGATAGACAGACACACACACATACACACACACACACACACACACACACACACACACACACACACACACACCACACACACACACACACACATGAAAATTAATCAATATAAAGTGACTAAAACATAAACCAATACAAATGCGCACAAATTACAGACTAGGAAAAAAACACATATCTTAATTTCTTGAAAAAAAAAATTAGCTCTAATATATATCACATAAAACACTCAAGTCCGAAGGAATATAAAAATAATAATCAGAATGAAACAAATTATCCAAATAATAGATATAGAGAGAGGAAAAGGTGGATAAATGAGACGGAAACAGATGAGGGTAATAAAGGAGGCAGAAACTAGGAAGAATCGAATAAAGGAGGAGGAGGAGGAGGAGGAGGAGGAGGAGAAGGAGAAGGAGAAGGAGAAGGAGAAGAGAAGGAGAAAGAGAAGGAAGAAGAAGAAGAAGAAGAAGAAGAAGAAGAAGAAGAGAAGAAGAAGAAGAAGAAGAAAAGAGAAGAAGAGAAGAAGAAGAAGTGAACGAGGAGTTGGAGGAGGAGGTAAAATTAAGAGACCAGAACAGAGAGGATAATCCTGAAGAGGAGAACAAATGAGAGAGAAAAACATACATAAGATTAGAAGTGAAACGTCAAAAAAAAAAAAAAAAAAAAAAATCAACAACAGACACCACAGAATAAAGATGAAAAAAAGAAGAAAAACAAACACACAATAAAACAAAAAACAGGAGAACGGCGCGGCAAAGGGGAGACTAAACCAAGACATCCCCGCCGTCCGTAAACGTTCAAT